ATCATCATCATCATCAACAACAACAACAGGGAATGCGAGATGACAACAACAACCAGGGAATGGGAGACAATTTTGCAAGTGGGGTTCATTAGATTTACAGCTTTCAAGAATTCTCTTCCCCTCATGACATAAGATCTCAGAGGATTATGTCCGAGTATGGGCAGGTTGATATGGGCTAATGTGAGTAGAACAATAGGTACCGCTTTGGCAGGAAGGTAACAGTGCTCCATACAGTCATGCTGGCCACATGACCTTGGAGGTGTCTTTGGAGAACGCCGGCTCTTTGGTTTAGAAATGGAGATGAGCACCAGCTCCAGAGTTGGACACAACTAGACTCAATGTCAAGGGAAACCTGTACCTTAACTTTTCTCATAAGAAACACCACGCAAAGCAGCCAGGGAAGCTGTGAGCACCACTTTTAATGTTGTGATTGTGTGCCCTTCCTCCCACTGCAGGCCCAGAGAAAAGGCAACACCTCCAGAAACACCACAAAAAGGCCACCTGCCTGCGAGGAAACACTGGATGGCAACCACCATAGATTTTTCTTTCTTTTTTCCTTTCATGTGTAGGAAGCACAGAATTACAACCTAGCAGCAGAGTCTCTTAATCACATAGCAACAAAAAGGCAATGGCAATTTGGGGTCTACCTCCAGCTTGAGCAAGAAGGAGGTTGCTCTGCTGAGCCCAAGGATGGCCAAGTGGGCAAGGCAAGAAAGGGGTTGAAATACGGGGCCTCTGAGCATGGAAAGAGTGCAGGTGTGAGCCACCTCTTCCTGGCAGAGCCTAGAAAAGAGTTGGGGCAAAGGCAAAAAGGTGTGCAGGAGATGGGGTGGTCTTGGGGGATGCCTGTTTCCAATGTACGCTGGAAGAGAGAGGGCTTCACGTTGCTGCCAACTGTATATGTGCTCATTGGAAGCTTTAGCAAAAGGAGGCCTATTAACATCTGCAAGGATCCACCCACACAATATGTATTCAAAAGGGGAGGATGGAGAGATTATCCCTGCTGTGTTTTCTTTCTTTTACATTCAGCATTTGGCAATTTTGGCACTTTCCTTCTTGAAAATAGTTTTGCATTCAGGGAGAAGCTACAGAGAAAGTTCCCCTAGGCCAAGAGAAGCCTAACAGAGTCCTCCTTCCCCTTGACTTTGGTCTGCATTCAGATGAGGGCTTCCATGCCCGTTGTTTTGGGAAGACCTGTGCAAAATGGTCAGAGGAAAGGCCTTGTTTCACTAAAAACAGGGCACACGCGCAGCCTTTGGTTCTGGGAACAGAGATACAGGCCACATGCCTCCTTCCTCCTAATCTAATCATCTTTGGAAGAGAGAAAGCAAAGGATAGGAGCAGAAATGGCAGCCCAAACCTGAAAGGAATTATGGGTCTCAGATGGGGAAGGGATGGAAGTGCTGTGCCCACCGGAAGTCAAGAAGAGCACACTGGAATAGGCACCTGGGATAGGATTGGTTTCCAAGAGTGGCACAGCTGCCATGCCCAAATGTTACAAGGCGGCCAGGCCAGCAAACAACAGGATTGCCCCTCTGAACTAAACAAGAGGCACACACGGAGCCAAATCTGGAGAGTGTTTGGGGGGAATGCACTGGATGAGAAAGTAAACAGGGCCTATGGCAATGAAGAGTCAGGCTAGGCGTTGGCGGCTGGAATGCCACTGCGGCTGCAGGAAAACAATAGCAAGCATCTCCCACTGGAGTTCCTTCTCTTTCAGATGTGGATTCCAGGAATGCTCCCTCATTTGGAGTCCAAAACCCACCCTCCCCACGGGAGCTGTGGAGAGCCTTTCCTGCCTGGACTGGGAAAGAAGTTTTACTTCGGAGGTTGTTTGCTCTCTTCCTCCTTAGGGCCAAAGGGGAGTCTCTTACCTGCAGCCCATTGGCAAACTAGGCCCTGCACCTTCTCCCTCCCTCATTCCCTGATCTTGCTGAGGATGCTCTTGCCTGGGTTGGGGGACCCAAAGGGAAGGAGAAGATAGGGATGAGTGGAGAAGGGCAAGAGGTCAGAGAAGGGAGGTTTCAAAGGGAAGCCCCTCCAGATGTGAGCCACCTCTTCCTGGCAGAGCCTAGAAAGGATCTGGGGCAAAGGCAAAAAGGTGTGCAGGAGATGGGGTGGCTTGGGGTTGGAGAAGCCCACCCTGGTGCCAAGACCAAATGCCAGGAGGGGTGAGGCCATGACAAGCCCTTTTGGGTAGATGGAGGAAATGAAGGGCTCACTACAGGACTTCACGCTGATGGCCTATCTCGTTTGGGGAGCTCCATTCCTACTCCATCCACTTTCGTGAAGGGTTAAAGGGAGGAGGAGTCCAGCCTTTCCAACATTGTTCCAACAACAATGGAGAGGAAAAGGATGTGGGGGCCTGTGGCAGGATCCCAGCACATTCCTTTGGTCCTGAATGGGGGAGGAATGTCCAAGGCTGGAAAAAGGAGAGAGGAGCCATGAACCCGTCTGGCTTCCCAGGCATCCCAGGCAGAGAGGTTTCCTTCGTGGGCAAAAGCAGCCTCAGGCTATGTAAGACCTGTGAGGCCAGAAATGATGGAACACAGCACCTCTCATAAAAGGCCCAGGCAAGTCAACACAGGCAGGGTCCCGTTCTGCCCAGAGGATTTTGGGGGCTGGGGAAGCACCCAAAGGAATCACAGCTGATGTGCAAAAGGGGCTAATACTCTGCCTGCTAAAGCTTCCCCCAAGGAATGTTTAAGGGGGCCAAACTGTGACAATCAGCACGCAGCTTCTCCAACACTTCCTCTGATGGCTTGAAGGGAAATGCATCATAACCAAAGCAGCCTTAAGTGCGACTCAAGACAGGAGAGAGCTTTCCTGTTGACTTGAGTTTGGAGGGAGAGTGGCTTTGGATCAAGGCACTGAGTTTCCTGGGAAGGAGGGAAGTTGGGGTCTGGGGCAGAGACTTGGAAGAAAGGGTTGCGTCTGCACTGGAGACCCCTGTCCTGATGAACACACACAGAGGCCGCATTGGTACTTATGGCTTGGGGGAACTTGCAGGAAAGGCGAGCAAATCCAGCTCTCTCCACTGCCCAGCACAACCCCTCACTTTAAAGCTGGAATGCAAAATTACTGCAAAGCTGAGACAAGTAAATAAATAAGGCAAGAGCAGGGATGTGCCAAAGATTGCAGGCACAGAAGGCAAAGACAGAACTTGGGGCCCCATGGTCAGGCTGCTGCGCCACCGCTTCAAGAAGAGCCTTTGGTCCTTTGCTGGTTGGTGGGTTTGCCAGCCAAGAGGCAGAAAAGGCAGCAGACTATACCCAGTAGTCAGTCACATCGTAGCTGGCATCATTCCAGTGAAGCTCCAGGAATCCCAGTGCTGCTGTCCTTCTTCCTGATTGGCCTGAGGAGCCCTCAGCTGGGCTGGGAAGGTCTCCAAAGGAGCCACAGTCCATGTTTTGTCTGTCATGGCTCCCCCCAAAGCACATTCAAGGAGGCCACACAGTGACAGTCAGCACACAGTTCCTCCAATGCTTCCTCTATGTGGCATGAAGGAAAATGCATCACAGCCATGCGGGCACCATCTACTTATTGGCACAAGAGCACTTTGGTAATACCCCTATGGCAAGGTGGGGGCAAAGGTCAGCATGGCAGTCCTTTTGGCAACGGGCATGATCCCAGGGATGGGAAGATAAGTGCAAAGGGGGCAGGGTTCAAGGAGCGTGAGGCCCCTCCCTCCTGGGCATCCCGACCCGGATGGCTAGGAGTCCCGGGGCCCCGTCCGGCGGAGGCTCTCCCGCAGGCAGCGCAACTGCTCCTCGCCCAGCTTGATCTTGTCGTCCAGTTGGCGCTGCTGGATGGCCAGGGCCGACTTCATGCGCACAAAGTGCTGGTAGTCCTGCAGCTGCTCACTAGGCAGGCGGCGTGAGACACAGGCAAAGACCAGCCGCTCCCGCCGCGCCACGTGCTCCTGCAGCTCCCGGGCATCCTCCAGTTGCGCCGACAGCTGGCGCTTCTTCTCCAGGAGGGTCAGCTGTGTTTCATGCATGGGGAGAAAGAGGAAGAAAGTCAAGGCCTGGAGCCACAGAGGCAAGCTAAAGTGTGGCCTTGACTGGCCCAGGATGGCCCCTTCTATGCCAAAAGGTTTATCTCCAAAACCTCATGCTTTGAAGAGGTTTGAGGTCCCTCCTGTCTCACACTGCTTTTTAAATTACTTTGTATTCAGAAATAATAAAGAGAGAAAGAGAGAAATAGAAAAAAGCAGCAAATTTTCATAATACATCACACTGAAACTACTACATCAAACTAAATCTAAAACATATCTTTTTTTTGTTGTGTCAGGAGCAGCCTGAGAAATTACAAGTTGCTTCTGGTGTGAGAGAATTGGCCGTCTGCAAGGACATTGCCCAGGGGGCGCCTGGATGTTTTGATGTGTTACCATCCTTGTGGGAGGCTTCTCATTTCCCCGCATGAGGAGCTGGAGCTGTCAGAGGGAGCTCATCCACACTCTCCCCGGACTCGAACCTGCGACCTGTTGGTCTTCAGTCCCGCCAGCACAGGAGTTTAACCCACTGCACCACCGGGGGCTCCTAAAACACACTAAGGCTAATGAATACACTAGAGTCTCACTTAACCAAGCTTCGCTCATCCAACGTTCTGTGTTATCCAACGCAGTGTGCCTGCTGCCTGGATCCACACCTGTTTCAATACATTGTGATGTTTTGGTGCTAAATTTGTAAATACAATAATTACTACATAACGTTACCATGTTTTGAACTGCTTTTTCTGT